GTGGTGGCACTGCTTCAACTTCGTCAGGTGGTGCAGATCAAGGTCCAAAAATTGAGGAAGTTGATTAAGCCAGAAAATGCGTGCTCTATTAAGTATATGTAATAAATATCCTACTTTTTACTTCTAGATACATATATATCTCCTTAAATTGGACAAATTCGCCGTAAACAGCATATTTTTCATTTAACTGTTACGAAACTTGTTTCGTTGATTACCCATGGCTTCAATAGCTAAGATATAAAAAATTCCAATGTCAATTCGGAGATATAATTTTTACCACTATTTTTAAACAACACCACGATAGTTCAGAAAGATGAAAAGTGTTCTCGCCCTATACAAACATCAGGAGACGAGGGTTGCTTGGATTCTGGCTCTGAGGAACACGCTGCAGTAACTGCAGTGTATGCGTCGACGGAGACGTTACTATCGTGTTACGAGAATGAAGCGGGCTCTCACGGTTGGTTAAGCTTGGTAAGATGTGAAGGCTAGTACCATAATTAGAAGTTTGGCATGAAGCACCAGGTTGAATGGATAATGGAGTCGAGCCATTCGTATCATTTAGAGCATTTGCAGCAATTAGTTGCTGCACATTAATTGTAGACGCTCTGATAGCATTGTTGTAGCCTGGATGCTCCAAATAGTTGTTGCTTGCGCCTGATGACGCTGTTAGCATGGGTGGTGGCCAGTCATCGATAATATGCCGAATAGACTGCTCGTTGCGTGACTGAAAGCGCATCATTAATTTTCGAGCATCTTCCACCGATAGATTTGGTAGCTTGCGCAGTGCAGCAGTCTCTACGAGTTTCATAAGTTCGTCGAATGACATAAGCACACCTAGCTCTGCATGAGCTACAACCACACGTACAATTCCAGCCTCATCGCTCGGGTGAAAGTAGCCACTATAACCCTTGTTCGACTTTCCTCCCTGCGCGCGCTTTTTCACACGCCGATGGAGAGCTGCAAAATGCACGCCATAAATTTTGGCAGCAGCACGTAGACTCATACCCTTCTGTTCCACAGCTGCAATCGCTTTTTCCCACGTCTCAGCTGGGACCGTGTGGCTGAGTTTATAGCTGCGCTTTTCAATCTGTGTCGATGCATCGTCTTGCAATGGCTCATTGGTGTTTCTAATCTCGGGATTTGAGAGAGGTGCGAAGTCTGAGCTGCCACTTGAGCTACTACTGGCTCCAGTTGTATTGCCGTTATCACTACTACTAGTATTAGAACCGACTTCTTCTACTTCACCACCATTCTCACAATGATGTGACGAATTCATTGCACGGTGGTCATCGATAATCATCTGACGCCAATGCTGCTGTTGCTGTTGCCGTTCGTGATGACTGTGCGCTGAACGCAAGCTAATCAGTGCACCAGCACTTGTCTCAGGGGCGACGCTCTCGTTGTGACTCTTTTCGTCGTCGCTGCTGCCACCCGCGTTTCGAACAGCTGAGCATGTTTTGTTGAAACGATCGCTGAGTACAGGTGCCAGAGTATTTGAAAGCTGCGAAAATCCATGTAAGCGCTTAAAGTTAAGGATCCAGCGCAACGGTGGAAAGTTTGGCGGGAGGTTGACGGCTCCGCCTTGGCTGGCAACAGATCGTACGACAAAGCGCACATCGTCCGAGGTAATATGCTGCTCGTGCCGAAAGTGCTTAAGAATGATAGTCAGCACCTCCTGCTCGTTTGCCTCACTCAAAAATTGACGCAGTTCTTCGTCAAGCCTTGGTGAATTGGTACTATTTGAGGCGACCTGGGCCAGGGGACGCATGGCAGGCGGCTAAGTCGGGTCGGGTCAGGTCGGATAATTGGTAGGCAGTCGATTCGTATATGGAAGGATTTTGGAGAACAAAGTAGGCCAAACATACATAGTGAAGTCAAATGATTTCATGACCTCGCATTCTTTATGTTAAGGATCACTCTAACATCTTTTACTGTTATCAAAGCGTATGTTATTATGTAACAGTGATGCCTACATACCAAGCGCACAAGCGCCTGTCTCGTACCCCGCGACACCACATCGATATCGTGTGTTGCGAGACATAACGAGTCGACAAGCTCACAATTCCATACAACGAAAATTTGTTTCACATTGACATACTGTGAAATAAAGGTTTACTACTGATAGGATCCGACATGAGCAGGATATAGGTAAGGGACAATTTCTCACACACTCACCCATGCGCCACAGACATGGAACTTGAGGATACTGTCTGGATGTCCTCATAGAATATACCACGAATCTGCATTTCGCATATCTGATCGCAATGAGCATGAGAGTTGTAGCATCTAAGCTAAAAATTAAAGGCATTTGAAGGCGAAGATGACCAAATTTATGGAACCGTCAACATCTTCCATCGGCAGTTATTTTAAGATCGCAATTAAAGGTATAACATTCCAGGTTTGTGGATAAAATTTGTGCGTCGGACCCAGTGTCTGCAGTATCACATCATGCAGACCTAGTGTGTCGCACCCAAGCAAATGTCTTGAAAGACATCATCCAAAATTAGACCAGGTCAACAATTAATGAGTCAAATATTCGTCTAGTAAGCACATCTGATTATCTCCAAACCCACATTTTTATCCTACTGTCTAACAGTAGGATGAATAATTATGATGCGTTAGCTATTCAAGGTTCGAAGAAGCCGCAAATACATCGAAGCTTGTGCAACTGTCGCAACAGAAGCCGCAAATACATCAAAGCTTGTGCAACTGTCGCAACAGAAGCCGCTGCGTTATTTCTTGTCGAGGTCATGCAGAAATGGAGAAATGGCTTGACACCATATAGTGGATCTGTTATAATTCCCGTTCTGTACGTCAACAAGAGAGAATATAGATTTGATTAGCAGACTTAAGATTGTCTTCGTCATCTTTCGAACTTCGTGTTCTGGATTTCTAACTGACAATTACAAATCAAAATGTCGTGCAATTATATAAGTCGTGTTTGTCCACAAGCTCTTGACCCTTTCGCATTTGAAGCGCGTCGCCATCACAAAGAACGAGTTGAGTCAAGAAATGAAGTATCGATTGCTCTCATTGCACGTAATAAGAGGCTTTAAAATATTACCACAGATTGCATCGCAGGCATGCCCGATCAAACCATTGATGAAATGCTGTCATACATCGGTCATTATAATGTGGCACACGCGGTCGGCTGTCTACTTCTTGCGTCATGCGCTCGAAAAATTTGGGTGGCGTACAAAAAGTGTAAATATGTGGTTGGTCGCAGCATCATGTCACCAGCTAAGCCGTACTTCTATGCCGCAAAAAATGTTGACGAAGATGGTTTAACGACGATAGTGTATTGTAGTCGTATTGTAGTCGACGATATCATATGTGTCGCCCCAAGATGATGGCGTCAGCTCTTTTGCAAACGCTATTAAGATATTTTGGAGTTTATCGATTTGATCTTCCACTAACCCTCGTTTTTGGTATTAGGACCGATTATACTCGGTAGCAGAGCTACGATTCACTTGTTGCTCACAGGCTATTCCGTTAATTTAAGGCAGAAGCAGAGACAACGTAAGCTTCAAGCAAATTTAAGATCATCAAAAGCACCAACCAATCGCACCAGAAACATATAGGTTGATGTTAAAATCATCAGGTAGAAGACGCGAGCCTTCTTTGGCAATGACGTTCCTCGCTAATTTCTCCAGGAAAAAAAAAGTTGAGAGAGGCAACCTACTAGCCGTCAGAATAAGTTGCGTTTTTCTTAATACATCACAATAATGTATTATGCAATCAATCTATGAATATTCCCACTGGGTACCTGGATGACTTGTATAATCGCACACGGTTTATGGCACGTTGGAATACCGCTGGATGATTTCATGCCATACTCACTAGCTGAGGCTCTATACGGAATTCTTTTTCAAATGTTGGTTTTGAGAATCGAAGATCGAGGATCTGCATGTAACTGTTTCTTCAGACTCTGGTTTTGTTTTGAGAACCAGAATTTAAAAAAACAGTTACGTATAGATAAAGTAAACGCCTCAAAGAATTTGTAGAGTAAGTGTTTACGTCACCAATGTATGGCTTTTGGTGAACGCAATCCAAAGGTAAATCTTTTTAACGGGCAATAATCTATGCGCGGACGATTCGGGGACGAAGTCCAAGGCGAGTGATAGCCGTTTGGATAGGAACATCTAGTGTTTTTACGCACTCAATACATGTATGAACAAAAAAAGAGAAAATTACAATTGTCGCCTCTCTTGTATCAGAATGAAACTTCTAGAATAAAAAATTGACACATAAACTGTGAGAATATATAACTTTAATCTACGACGTGGTCTAGTCATTGATGTGGAAGTGATTTTGATAAATATCTGAAAAATTTAAAAGGGATAAGTCACTATTTTGAATTCTGATCAATCGAAAGTAGCATTACGAGAAGCTTCAGATGAAGGTGGCTAATTCTAGTGGTGAAGCTGAGCAAGAATATGATAATGGCACGACCGGAGGAAAACTTATGCCGGTTTGAAAGATTGTAAAATTCAAAGTAGCTGCACAAGGCGATTTTATACTTAAAGATAATGCGTTAAAGCACAAGGATTGTTTAGATATAGTGTAGCGCTCTTCCGGTGGAGCTAGAGTGAATGCGCTCCAATTAATATCAGTACAACATCTAACCTCTTACAGAAAATTAGCTCATCATAAATTGATATTCATCCCAGGCTAAATACGTTCAGCGAAATCTGGATGCTTGGTGTCGCTCCGATGCTGCGCCGACTGGGTGACTATATTAATCGACGTCGATAGTGGCATCGCATTATATATCGCAGATGGAAGTTGAAGTCATTGCAAATATAACATAGTTTAATTCCAATACTACATTTGAATTAAACCAAAATTGTCGTTGATTAAATTCGTTTTAAGAAAAATCTAAGAAGCTAAGTGAACTCTAAACAGTTTAGTCAACCTCCTCAATCTTTGGACCCTGGTCAGGTGCTCCAGCAGGTGGGGCGCCACCAGTCATACCACCAGGCATACCACCGGGCATACCACCCGGCATTCCACCTGGCATACCAGGCATACCATCAGCTCCAGGGGCACCACCGGCTGCGGCATACATTTTCTGGAGAATTGGATTTGCAACACCCTCAAGCTCTTTCTGCTTGCCTTCAAATTCTTCCTTTTCAGCCGATTGGTTAGCGTCAAGCCAGTTGATTGTTTCAGTGACCTTGTCGTCGATAGCTTTCTTATCGTCATCCGAAAGTTGGCCCTTAAGCTTCTCATCGTTGAGGGTGTTACGCAAGTTGTAAGCGTAGTTCTCAAGACCGTTCTTGGCTTCAATACGAACTTTGTTCGCTTCATCCTCAGACTTGTATTTCTCGGCCTCAGAAACCATGCGGTCGATATCGGCTTGCGAGAGGCGACCCTTGTCGTTTGTAATAGTAATCTTGTTCTCCTTACCGGTTGACTTCTCAACAGCCGAGACGTTCAAAATACCATTAGCGTCGATATCAAACGTCACATCGATCTGCGGTACGCCACGAGGCATGGGCGGGATACCATCCAAGTTGAATTTACCCAGCAGGTTGTTGTCACGAGTCATCGATCGTTCACCTTCGAAGACCTGAATCAGAACACCCGGCTGGTTGTCGGCATACGTCGAAAATGTCTGCGATTTTTTAGTGGGAACTGTCGTGTTACGAGCAATCAGC